GTTGCACTCTGAAATCACACCTCTGCATCCTCTAGCCTTCTCACTGCCATGGCACCCATCCAAAGCCTGACTGGCTCAGGGCCCAGGTGCACAGCTGTGCAGCACCATAGTCAGCACATTGCCCATCCTGTGACAGTGCATGGGGAGTCTGCATGGCTGACACTTCTCCCAAGTCTGGTTGTTTGGTTGTGCTGGTCACTAAACTGGTCCAGCTTAGCCAAGCTACAAGATCTAAATAGAGCTCTTCAATTTGGGTCGTGTTTGTTTGCGTCTTACCAGTGGTGAAGGGCTGATTGAGTCTCCTCCCCACAGGCGAGACTCACACAAAGGAAGACACGACTATCTGTGCCTGCTGTCAGTCAGCCTTCCACTGATTCCTTCACAGTCCCGCGCCCCTTTCCTCCAGCGCTGCCAAAGTCATCGCTCTTCTTCATCCCTGTACCAATAACAGCGCCGGGTGTTACAGATGCAACCGGATATCGCTGAAGTAGGAACTGAGGTTTGCAAGAAGCAGGAGCCTGAGTCCTTTCTGGTGGATTAGGATGACTTGAACGATGCTGAAATTAACAAGATTCAACTCCAACCAGAAGCTTTGTTAGTGTTAAGTGTCAAAGTGTTAGTCTTTTAAGTCTCCAGATAAGCAGTTGCAAAGGGACCAATTTAGAGCTGAGCAAATGGAAGCCTGGATTTATCTGGGTTTGGAATAATAGGTGATTCCTGTGACCAGCACATCAGCCCCATTGTCCATGGGAATGGAAAGGTTAGGAAGCCCAGTGCCTTCCTTGGCCAAGTGCAAGGAGAGAGGAGCGAAAAGAATCAGATATAAAATATCTTGGAGAAGTAGCAAAGTTTTTGGTTAACTTCTTAAAAGATTTTGGTTTTCAAAACATCTGATGCAATCACACAATGAGACTTATTGTGGTTTGGGGTTTACATGGCAAGTGACAGATTGGCTTTGGGCCAGGTTCATGCTTGATCCTGGGGCTACATGGAAGTAAAAAGCAGTTTGGATTCAATCAAGGTTCGATGGAAGTTGAAATTGTCTAGTGTTTCTGAAATGTGACTACTAAGACCTAGAATGAGTAGGCTATTTCCCCCAACAAATCACACTTTAGGAAATAAGATAAAAGAGGAGAATGAAAGTGAAACTTTTTTGGGAATCAAAATGCCTGTTTGTCATGATCAGCCCAGTCACTCCTTTGCTGTCCATTGGTAACTAACCCTCTTGGAAAACAACTGAGACCAGCTGAGAACCAGGGCAGCGGGGGTAAGGCTCAGTGGTTGGGCATTTATCCATTTCTTCTTCATTTCCATTGTATTTTTTACTTATGCAACTTTTATGGACAGTTTTTACAAAACTCAACAGGTATACAATCAAAATCTACCAACTTTCAGGACCAGCAGTTAGCGTAATGGCTATGTCACTCGACTCCCACATAGTCGACCACGGTTCACGTCCTGGACCTGGTGGCTTAAACTCACGCCGGGAGCGTGTGCGTGCGTGCCCAAGATCCCGAGAGGAGAATGGAGAAGGGATTGTGGCTCGGCCATTCCCCCTGGGGGGTGATTTCTCGCTTTCTATCTCTCTATCTGTCTCTTTCTGTCTGGTGAGCACACGCACCCTATAGCAAAAAAATAAAAAAAGAACTCTCCAAAAAAAAAAAAAAAAAAAAAAAAACAACAAACTTTACACTCAAAAAAAAAAAAACTACCAACTTTCAATTGTGAATAACAGCAAATATAATGCAGTAAACATTCTACTTTTAAGCTTCAATATTTTCCTTCCAGATTTTCTCTGCATTAATATGATACACATTCTTCCCTTCCCCATGAAGGCAGCGTGAGTTTTGGTGAGGTCCCAGTATAAAATGATGTACAGAAATAGCCATAGAGATGGAGGCCCTTGGAGGGCTCCCATGCAAAGTTTGGAGGACAGTGGCCTCTCTGAAGTCCAGTTAATTATCCACCCACTGACATCCCAGTGGTTACTATGGGCCACGGTCAGGTGCACATTAGATGTTTTATGAGTTTCCAAATAAACATTCTTGATTCAATAAAGAGAAACTTTGATAAGGAAATGTTAATCTTCTGTGATTTGCCTAATCTTTTAATTAAGCTAGAAACCCATGAAGCAACAAGCTGTGGGGTAACTTTTTTTTTTGTACTTTTCATTATCTGTTGCTTATCAAGGGATATAAAGATATCAGTCTCATCAGTGTCTGCTCTAATATTTCATGAAGTTGGGAGTTACTTAAATGTAGAATATGTTAACTCAGATAAAATTACTAATGAAACAAGTATGTTTGACCATTTTGTTAATGCAAATTTTAAAGTCTGCCAGCTGCAATGTTCTTATCCGGGGCTCGAGTCTTCTCAGCCGTGGCCACCCAGAACTTAGCCTTGAACCTGGGGGAAAGCAGGGCATGGTTTTGATTCAGGAACAACTGACAGAGAACCCATGTGCTTTAGGCAGCCAGAAACATAAAAAAGTTACGTAGAAAGAGGGAACCAAAGGCGCGTTTGGGAGGATTGTGAGGCTCGATACCAACACTCGGACGATCAGAGGGCTGTTAAACTACATAATGAAAAATTTCCCAGGGACCCCCGAATAATCAGAAGAGAATCAGAGATCATTAAGAATTAAGCATGATATTTTATATTGTTTCATTAATTCAGCAAATATTTTTAAATGTTTACTACAGGCCATGCTTTCTAAATTTATTGTTAAATCTTACAAACGTATGTCAAGTAGCAGTCCTTATAACCACTTCTTAAAAGATAAAGTTGCACAGAGAGATTAAGTCATCAAAAGTCACACAGCTAATACATGCTAGAACTATGTGATAAATGCTGAGTTGTGAGTCTCATCTGGCTGTTCTCCTTCAAGAGTTCACTTCAACTGGCGGAAAGATGCAGAAAGATATCTATTCTAGGTTCTTAAGGGTCTGACTGTCTCCAAAGCAGCAGTTTAAAAAGCAAGAATTGGTTTGCATAAATGAAAAGCTTGTGTTTTTTATTAAAGCAAAACTTTTTTGTTTTGTTTTAGTTTAAAATTTAAACTTGTTGCCTTTGATCACATGGGAAACCTATGTGGGTATTGCCATTTTACAAGGTCGATCCCTTGATGATCGCACGTGCTGCTGGCGGAAATGCAAAAAGGTGGAACCAGACTGGCTCTGGCCACTGTGCAGTGCCCAACCGGGCCGTTCCCAGGTAGAAGCCATCTACAGCACGATTGCACTCTCCCATACTTGGCAGAGTTCCTCAAGGTCAAAAAGGTACCAAGCCGTTCAGCAGAGCTCTGCAGGAGAGCCTGTCTCTACCTCTGCCAGGGCCCAGGGCACAAATCCCAAACCTTTCACCTTTCCATGGCCAGGTGGTATTGGGGCCCCAGGAGGTTCCCCCCTGACAGGTGCTGATGGCTTCCCTGATTGTTCACCAAGTTGGCCTTTGTCCTCTCCACCCCCTGAGGAGCAGCAGTGTGGCCAATGCTGTTTCCCACTGTGGTCAGCCAGTTCTTTCTACCTCCCACCGCCACCTGCTTTCCTCCTGAAGTCCTATTTGGCCCTTTCCCAAGCTCTGAGAAATGCTCCTGTAGGCCAGCGTTCCAAATGTGCGGAGGCTCAACCCATTCGGCCACCCGGCCCAGCATAGCACTTCATGTGGTGTTCAGTGATGCGAGGAGTCTCCCCAACTCCCCTGCGAGAATCACCAGGCTCCCTAAATCAGGGCTTACTAGAACAGCCACCTCGTGTCAGCCTCTCCGTCGGTGTCCACCAGCGTGCTACATTGTCTAAATACCTTTGGAAAAACCAGCACCACCGTCATACCGATTGTGTGGTAGTAAAGAATCAGTTCGAAGCCATACCTTGACGTTCTATAGGAGTAGGTCAAGTGTTATAAAATTGTGGCACTGTTTAATGGCATGTATAAACGGTGGAAACAATCTTCCTCGGACTTCATTGCTCTTGACTTGAATTCCTAACTTTGCTATGCTTCCAGCCCTCTGTTACTAGATTCAGTTTTTGTTAAAGGGAAAACTTAGACAAAGTTAATTCAGCAGTTTTTTGTTGTTATTGTTTTGTTTTGTTTTGTTTTTAAGAGATTTTGGCTATAGGGTGTGTGCGCTCGCCAGACAGACAGAGAGACAGAAAGCAAGAAATCACCCCCCAGGGAGGATGGTCACGCCTCAATCCCTTCTCCTCTCGGGATCTTGGGCACGCACGCACACATGCCCGGGGTGAGTTTTAAGCCACTGGGTCCAGGACGCAAATCGCGGTCGACTACGTGGGAGTCCAGCAACATAGCCATTACGCTAACTGCTGGTGCTGGGGCACGCACGCACACATGCCCGGTGTGAGTTTTAAGCCACTGGGTCCAGGACGCAAATCGCGGTCGACTACGTGGGAGTCCAGCAACATAGCCATTACGCTAACTGCTGGTGCCAATTTAGCAGTTTTTAACTGAGCAAAGAACAGTTGGGCATCAGACAATCCCAGAACTGGTCCTGAGGAGCTCCAGGCTACCACGGGGTCGAATACCATTTATTGGGAGGAAAGGGAACAGAGTCGCCGCAGTCAGGTGAGGGGCAGAAGCTACTGGATTGGCTGCAGCATGGCCTTTCTCTGTTGGGACACGGTTTAAACACACGTGTCTGTGACTGACTGAGGACAGCTGTGTGATCTCTGTGGCTAGTTACTGGTTTGGGAAATTCTCCCAGGTAAGTGGTTGTTTCTGAGGACACAGGTGTGCAAGTACGAGGGCCTTCTCAGGTCAAAAGAGTTTGGGTTCGACCCCACTACCAGTGAGAGGGTCCGAGGTCATGCATGTCGGGGCCTTTGCCAGCCTTAGTTCTCAGCCCAGGTCTCAGCCCTTTCAGTGTTTGCACCCCAGAAGGAGAGCCTGTGCAGGAGAGAAGTCGGAAAACACCTAAGGGTCAGCCGTGTCTCCGTCTTGAACGTGTAATCAGGTTTTCTGCCTCTCTCTCTCCGAATTTCCAGTCAGGCCTGATCAGAACAGAAGAAGCGGATTACTTCTTACAGCCCCTTCCTTCACACCTAGCGGGGAAGCTCCCCGGCTCTGCTGGCAGCGGCCTGCCCTCCCATGTACTGTACAAGAGATCCGTGTCTTCCCGGGCTCCTGAGGCCAGCGAGGTGGTGCTGGTGTCCCGGAAGCCAGAGCCGGCCAACGGACACTTGCTCGGCGGTGGCCTTCACCCAGGACTCTCACAAAAGCAGCATTTCTGTGGAAGACGCAAGAAATGTATGTAAGGGCGATTCCTTGTGTGCATGCAATAATCTGGACATTGATGGAAGCTGGTGAAAACCGCTTCGTTTCCCTCAAAGCATGTCTGCCCTGAGGTGGAATTTAGCGACTGTGGCCCCTGAACTTAAGCGGCAATGCAGAGAGAGCCAGTGGTCTGCAAGTTAGTGCAGCGCGTCCCTGCTCTAGACGGCCTCGTGGCAGGGCTGGGGAGACGGAGCGAGCTGCACGTGGACTGCTCCTGGTGTGGTCCAGGCTGTATGAGCTGTGTGAACACGATGGGAAATGATGAGCAAGCACCAGCCAGTGTACCCGCTCAGTGTTAGTCTTCCACATGCTCATTTAGGTTTGCAAGTGTTTGTAGCAGGGGTAAAATGCGCTGGATGTGAGTACAGGTCAGACAAACTCTCACCTCTAACCTTCAGTGAATACTTTCATAGTGAAATCCTTTTCCATATCAAAATGGATCATGCCACCTAAATAAGTGACTTTTTGAAGACAACTCTTACATGAAACGTTGTTTGTTTGTTCTTGAGAGGATTTTGCTATAGGGCATGTGCACTCACCAGAAAGACAGAGAGAGACAGAGAGCTAGAAAGCGAGAAATCCCCCCCCCGGGGGGGATAGCCGCGCCACAATCCCTTCTCCATTCTCCTCTCGGCGGGATCTTGGGCATGCATGCACACACGCCCAGCATGAGTTTAAGCCACCGGGTCCAGGACTCGAACCGTGGTCAGCTACATGGGAGTTCAGCGACAGAGCCATTACGCTAACTGCTGGTCCCTGAAACACTTCTTTTTTACCCTTTTTTATTTTATTATTTTTGGGAGAGGTTTTTGCTATAGGGCACGTGCGCTTGCCAGAAAGACAGAGAGAGACAGAGAGACAGAAAGCGAGAAATCACCCCCCAGGGAGGATGACCATGCCGCAATCCCGCCTCCTCCATTCTCTTCAGGATCTTGGGCATGCACGCACATGTGCCCGGTGTGAGTTTAAGCCACCAGGTCTGGGACTCAAACCGTGTGCGACTACATGGGAGTCTAGCGACACAGCCATTATGTCAACTGCTGGTCCCAAAGCAATTCTTTTTTTTAAGAATTGAGAATTTTTTATTTAATTTTATTTATTATTATTTTGAATTTGCTATAGGACATATGCACTCCCCAGAGAAAGAGAAAGTGAGAAAGCAAGCCTCCAGGTCCAAGACTCAAACCGCAGTCAGCCATGTGGGAGTCCAGAGCCTTAACCACCACACCATCTGCTGGCCCCTCACATGAAACAGTTCTAAACCACATTTTCTGAGGCAGCCATTAAGCCTACTTTTTAAAACACGGAACACTAGAACACTATGATAATTTAATGATTATAAATGCCCAAAATACTTTCGAAGGCATCCTTTCAAGAGGATGGAGTACATTTTGACTTCTAATTAATTAGGTCAATATTTATGGTGCTTTTTAGGAAAGTAAGCTCTTCAGTAAGGAGGAGCTGCCCCCAGAAGTTTGTAGTCCATCTGAAACAATGCTAGAGAGATCTCTTATGTGTTCAGATGCAGAGGCCAACTTAAAAACTGCCGGATCATCAGCACGAGCCAGCCCTTCTTGGTCATTGCCCCACCGGTACCTCTGCTAAGGAGCCCACAGGTCCCTGTGCCTAAGTCCTTTGAACCTAGACGGAGCACTTTAGAGCCAGCATCCCCCCCCCCCATCGTTTTACATCAGGAACAATCTGCACAAGGGGGCAAATACAGCTGATTTCCATGGCTACTAGACTATACCAACTGTATTTTAGTTAGGGTTCTACTTTAGCTCAAGTTTCCACAATAGCAGTTTCAAGGTTATTATGGTTTTATCATGAGCACTCACGGTTCAGGCCGGTTTCTGACGACTCTCACCATGGTCTTGCTTTAAGTTGCCGTCCATGTGTTCCTCCGTAGATATGCCCCAGCCTCCCAGCGAAGACCTCTTCATCTTGCCCGATGAGTATCAGTCTTGCTTACGGCATAAGCGTGCTCTTCTGAAGTACCACGGAAATGAAGAACTCAATGTGGAGACACTGGTGGTGGTTGACAAAAAGATGATGCAAAACCATGGCCATGAGAACATCACAACCTATGTACTGACGATTCTCAACATGGTACGGCCACCCTTGTTGGGGACACCTGTGTTCT